GTCTAACTGCTATTGCTATTGCTATTGCTACTTTAGAAAGGTGAAGAGCCCCAGCAGGAGATCTGTAGAAAATTCCTCCCAGGAACATCTGTCCTAGAGAGGCTCAACCATCACTTCTTTCTCTTCTTTCCTAGACTAAAGAAGGCAAATTCATTCTTTCTGCTATGACATCTGGAATCCGCCGGAACTGGATCCAAACCATTATGAAACATGTTCGTCCCACAGTCGCTCCAGATGTGACCAGGTAAAAAAAACATGACAAACAAGAATGCTTGGTCATCTTTCCCAACTATCTTCATCACACTTCTCCACAAATCCATTTACTTCTGATTTCTCTGTCCTCCGCTTTCTTAAAATTACTTTCGGAGACTGGTTTTTCTGAGAGTTTGATTTTTGCACAATTTAGAAAGGACAGGTTGATGCCTTGTCGACTGATTTCTCTTATTAAACATGTGGAATGATGAGAGAAACTAAGATGGAGGAACTAAAAGGAACCTCGATTTGAACTCTCTGTTCAGTTAAAGCTCAGGGCACCATATCATCCTAGCTGCTTTTCACCTGAGTGAGCTTCAATGCACCAAATAGAAAAGTAATTAACCGCACTCCAGCCAGTTTCAACTTCAAGGTAGTCCTTGCACAAATGTTAATTTGCATTAACAATCATCTTCAAGTTAGGACCTTTCCTTCCTCTTAAATAAAAGGTGTATGTTGTCACTAAACATGACTCTACAGTAGGTCCTACCTGTAGGTCCTTCAAGAAGATTAAAGAGTCAAAGTTAAAACCTCGGTTTGACAGGGCTTTGTAATAATCTGCCTTCAAATGTGGTAGCAAGGGCTTCCTTTCCTATTTTGGTATTTGCTTGTGCAAAAGGAAGAGTAAGCACCACGGCAAGGAGTGTATCTATGGTGTAGTCGCAAAGCATGGAATGTTGCTTTAAAGAAGGATTTCTCACCCTTGGCAACTTTAAGATGTGTTTGTTGGCTGAGGAATTCTGGGAGCTGAGGTCCACCATCTTCAAGTATGGTGGCTGGGGAATTCTGGGAGTTCACATGTCTTAGAGCCGAGGTGGCGCAGTGGTTAGGGTGCAGTACTGCAGGCTACTTCAGCTGACTGTTATCTGCAGTTCAGCGGTTCAAATCTCACCGGCTCA